TCATCGTCCATATAATAAAATTTGCAGCGTCGCTTGACCTTTTTTTACATTTTTTCACATCTAAACAAGAAAGCGAAGCGTTCCTTAATGACGCTCTTTGCCTGTGCTATAAATAAATGCAAACTTTCTGCTTTTCAATTAAATGCTATAACAGAAATATCGTTCAATATAATATCTTGATATGTAAAGCAATATTAGCAATAAAGCATTTTAATAGAAATCAGTTCAGACAGTCAATAGCCGGTATAATCACTATTGGGTTTAAGGGTAGCTGGGGTTTTTGTAGGCATGACTGAAATTGATTATCACAGGTCTCTATGCTTTTTGAATACTTTTCCACAATTCTTTTTTATTGCTACGGGAAACATGGCGCTTTAGTTCTCCTCAAACATTCTCAACAGGATTGAGGCCGAAAGAGTGACATGGCATTTCCACCAAATTGGATGAATGTTTCAGATCGTTAGCCTGCTGAAATTTTTATAGCAGACGCTTATCTTTATTTATTTTCTTTGGCATGCGGTATTATTACAATTTCCGACAAGTTTTTATATACAAATATTATCTGACATGTATTGGACATATACTCTCCCAAGAAAAGCTTTTTCCGCGATGCTTGACAGGTCTTCTGTTGCTTTTGACAGAGAACACTTCGAGTATACAATATTCGTCGCTTGTTCAAAATCATCACGCGTTTATTGGAACTAAGAAAAGTCTTTTTAACCGCTCCGCATATCTTGATATTTTCTTTGGGTGTTCAAAGGACTCGTTTGTATGTATTTCCATGATTTCGATGCTGATGACCCATCCTGGCCATCCTGCTTCTTGGTTGTAATGAGCTGCTCGATCTATCTTATATTATTCATATTGTATTTTCTTGTCCGCATATACGATTTACTTTTACAATCCATCTTCACAGTGAAATTTGCTAAATACTTCAGCTTTCACAGCTTTAAAGACAGTGCACGTATTTCACTGTCCAGCTGAGAAGCCTACTAAAGCAAAATTAAAGCCTTCAACTTTTTATTGCATGAACTAGTTCATGTCGGATTCCGGCAATTAATTTTTTTTTTAAAGTTTTTGCCGCATGTAAAAACGTTTTGTGAGTTTTGTGGAAGCTACCGGTTACAATCTATGTAGCATAGAATTGACAGATTCACTTCGCATCTATTGTTCTCTCCATAAGAAGTGTTTGTATCGCATAAGGATAGGCAGCGACGAAAGGAAAAACGCATAGATTCTCGGATATCGTAAATAGTGAGATCTATTTGTTTATCGTATGTTTGCTTTCTTATCTGTTGAAAGCCAGTCATTAGCACAGCAATCGATGCTTGCAGACTTGCAGACAAGCTGATAATTTTTTTCATATTCTTCATTTTAGAACCGTTGGTTTAGAGATGAGACTAGACTTAAGGTCGTGCTTACGTATCCGTCTACCGATTTCAGCCTTAATCGTTCCTTCTTTAATAAATACGGAAAGTCATAGCATTGTCGAGTAGTGTTACTATTTCCTTTATTATTCTTTCGACGCCTTAGCCTTAATGTATCCAATTTCCAGTCGCACATTCACGAACTTTACTCCGTTCTTTCAACTCACTTTTTCTATAACTCTCCCTAATCACCATCGCGCCTGCATGTATGACTGGCCATGTAAAAAAAGTTCCGCACGCTTTAACTTAACTTCACATTTTAATCGCATAAGTCATTAACAGCGAAGAGTAAAACCCGGTTATGAGACCAGGTTGAAGCAACTCACAGAGCGATTACGATCTCTTCCGGCCATTATTATTGTATGTGAACTAATTATCTCATTTCTTCTTGTCAATAACGACTTGAATTCCTTTCCTTACAATAGCGGCTGACAGGTGCAAATTCAATTTCACTGTTACTTCATGTGATACTCAAATATCGAATGTCTTTTTATATCCAGGCCTAAGCAGAAAGTTCGAAACTGTTTTCTGAGGCAACGATTTAATTTCGCTGTAAGCTATCTTAAGACGGGACGGAGTGTACAATTGGTTTAACGATTGGGCACTGAGAACACGACACCTTCTTCTTCTTCTATGCTACTGAGTTTCGTCAACCACATTCACCGCAAACACCACAGTCCTTTTAAGCGTAAGGAAGCGTTATGATCTTGGCCCAAAATGACATTGTAAAATGTGGTCAATAATTTTGAGAATTTCCCTTAATTTCCAAAATGCAATTTCTTTCGATCACGATTACGATATATTTTAGTATTATGATAAGTTATTTATGGACTAGAACATTCCGCACACACACTATGGCTTAGTTGTTTGATAGACTCAGTTATATGGAACATTTTTCTTGGCCTAATATCATATTTTATTGTATACTAATCCGGTTAACAACTCGATTATACGATTAACGGGAGACTGTGTATATATATATATATATATATACAGATATACTTGGTACCTTATGTGTACACATATATAAGATATATATATGCAATGATCCAATGAAGCATAACCAAGTACCTCTTCAATCTAAGCATACTTGATAAAAGGTAAACTTTGTTCATGCATATCGACGGCGTCTCACTCATTGTTGCCTTTGTTCTCGCTAGCATCTATTAGCATCAGTTGTAAATCCTGTTATGCGCTGTATAGTTGTAACCAGTTTCAAGCCAAAAGATACCATTAATAGATCCTGCTTGCGAATAATAGGTTTAAAAATCGAACTTATGTATTTATAAAAAAAACAAAAACAAAAACTTATCTATTAATCAATCGATGACATATCTTACGTAAACAAGAAAAAAAAAAAAAAAACCCATCACATCACATCACATCACATCAACATAATAATAAAAACGTTTTGTGATGATTTCTGTGTGAACGATGCCACGTAATTACATCAAAAGTGAAGAAAATATTTAAACAGAAATGAATGTCTAGACATTATGCAGACATCTTGTCATGCAATAAGGAAGTTATTGTTGCAGAAGACTACGCGAAATGAAAAAAAAAAAAAAAAAAAAAAAAAGAAGAAGTACATTCGGTCACTAAGTTAATACATTGTCTAATGGTTTTTATATTATTATTATTATTATTATTGTTATTATTATTATTATTATTACTATTGAATGCTCATTCACTCGCTCACTCAATCGCACGATGCAGCGACAAGTATTTATGGATGTTTGTCATATGTGGGGACACCAACACATTCTTGTTGATGATGGCGGCCGCATCACAATCAAATACAAGCACATATGGCTCTTAACTTAAGCGTAGCTATTAAACACGTTACCAGATATGTCTTCTCCATGTAAACATAAGTATTTATTTATTTGTATACACTTATCTACGGTTGACTATTTCCACATACCTCTGTCTAATAAGTATTAAATATTTGCAGATTAAAATTAAATTTAAATTAGAAACGCACTAATTACTACTGCAGGCAGTTCTAAACGCTGCTTACCTTTATATATTAATATTCGCACCCATTGTGACACTAACTTTACCCCTTTCACTGATGAAATACCTAAATGCTGAGCTGGTTCCTTGCATGCATTTTTTGCATTAAAACAGATATATCAAAATTTATATTTCGCAAATTCGTGTTTGGGACGTTGCGGTATCGACAACTATTGCCCGTTTCTACTGAATTCATTCGATGCAATTCTATTAGGTACAATTGCGGATCCTATCGCTATGTTTGAGATTTGCATCTCGTAATGGATGATCCAATTTTGACCTGGAATTGAAGCTGATTTCTGGCCACGATACATTATAGTTCAGTTGAATTAACCTTGAATGGTAATCAATGTATTCAAGTATTAGGTGACATTATGGTTGCCACAATTTAAGTTTTCGTTAGGTTTTCATTAAAATATTAGGGATTTTATCGCTATAGCTTATTATAGCGATGCAGTAAGCGTCTCAAATTGGAAAATATTTAGACCTAAAGTTTCAAGTTTGAATTTTTTGACAATTAACTTTGGCAACGTGTTTTTTTTTTTTTTTTTTTTTTTTTTTTTTTTTTTTTTTGTAAAAGTCATCATATTCGAATTTTCGCCTCTGGCTTCCAATATATATATATATATATATATATATATAATTTTCACAATATACTGTCGTTATATGCACCGTGACATCTAAGTCGTAGAGTGAGCAGAGTAAATGGAAAATGGCTCAACACTTTGTAGACTATTTGATATTGTTAAACCACGCAATCATAGTTTTCGTTGTCATTAACGTTAATTTTGGTTTAAAACACTTTATTCTCCCTCGGTGCGACGCTTGTCTTGTGCCGTTTTCTATTCTTAACTTCTCTCGCATTATATTCATCCGTTCACTTTTATGTTTGTCAGCTTGTTTTACCCTTCATTTATATATATACAACACATTCATATATTTATGTGTACATTCAAAAATCGTAGAAACCCTGTTGCAATCTTTGCGGTTTTAAAAACTCTACCGCGCCGCTTAGAGGATGAAAAAAAAAAAAAACGAAAAACATAATTTTTGTGTTTCTCTTAACATTTTTCTTCAAATTAAAAAATAAAATGTAATCATTGAATAGTTTTTTTCTATATATATATATATATATATATATATATATATATGTATGTATATGCATATGTATATGCATATGTGTGCCTTTATTTGTTTGCCTATTATATTCGCACATAATCTATGCCAAAACAGCAGTATACTTACATAGGAAATTAGATTTTAATGCTATCCATTTTTACTGCATTGGAAAGATTACATTTTTTTTTTTTTTTGTTTTAGGTGTAATTTTGATTAAATTTTATTTTTGGAAAAAATTTTTAACGTAAAAATTTTTTACAATTGAAATTTTAGTTTCCTCTTTTTTCTCAATGATTTTTCTTCATTGCAAGAAGTTTCCATTTTGCCTAAAATATCAAATTTTGCCTTTTTTTTTTCTTTTAAAGATTTCTTTTTTTTGATTTGTTTTTTAGAGAATTTCAAAATTGTGGCGATTGATGCTTCATTTTTATTTATTTTTTATATATGTTGAGTTCCATACATTTCGCTGCAAACGTCATCTACCATGGATCGTTTTAAATTTTTGAGCTCCTCACGTCGACTACGCGACATGATTATGTAGTTAATCGCCTTATGCAGTTCCTCAAAGTAAAGCAAGCTGGCCGTACCACAGGTGAGATCTAAATAACGAAACCGATTAACGTTACAAGTGCAGCCATCGAAAACAAAGTAAAGATAGTTATCGCCGTCCTGACTGCGGAAGATGACATAATTGCCCCAGGGTACCATGGTATAGACACGATCCGCACAACGAAAGCCTGCATGCAAAAGTTTGCACAGACTGTCGTAGCTGCCGCATTCAGATCCAACCACGGCCAATGTTCTCGGGTGTAATAATAGGCCAGGATACGAATTTGGCCGGTATGTCACTTTGTCCTGTGCACAATTGAAAACGCACGGTTCTTCTATTTTCAGTTTAACCTCTACTGGTGGTGGTGGCGGTGGGGGCGGTGGTGGCGGTTCTTCTTTTGCTACGGGTTTTACCTGCGCCTTTTTTTTGCCTTTTTTTCCTTTACCTTTCTTGTCTTTACCCTTTTTGCCTTTGTCCTTTTTATCCTTTTTACCACCTTTGCCTCCCTTTTTTGCCATTTTCGAGGTCTAGGATTAACGCTCCCGACGAATTGCAAAAAATGCGTTAATCGTTGCTTTCGAAGTAAATCTTTCCTTTTGACAGAATTTTTTACTTGAAGGTGGATATTTTTTTTTTTTTTCTTTTTTTTTTTTTTTTGTACGAACAATTAGTCAAGAACGTTCCTCTTGCGGTCACTGGCTATCGTTTGCTAATTCAGAACATGATTAAATTTTGTTTCGAAATTTTATTTAATTTTTCTAAAATTTCGTGTTTCTCCCGAACGGTTTGCAATGGAATGAATTTGATGTGACGTTTTTCTGTACAGCAATGTGTAAATGTTATTTGAAAACTGAAAAAAGTTTGAAATAAAATGAACAGAAAACAAATTTCTTTCGTTTCTTAAATATATTGAAATTTTTCAAGTAAAGTAGAATTTTGTGAAAATTTCAATACAATTTCACTTTATTAATGAAATTATTAATTAAAGCAAATTAAATATCGCTGAATTAATCTAAATTTTCTGCAAGACAAATTCTTAATTGCTATAGTTAAGCTGTGGTTCAGGGCAAACGCTACAAAATCATAAGTTTCTGCAAGTTATTCACATTTTAGAGGAGTCTACGTTGGCGGATAATATATATATAATATTAAACTGCATAAATTAATTAGTTTGTATGTATAACCTTAGCATATATAGTATAAATTGTGCAGAATATCATACGTATAGTACACAGTAGAACTAGTATATAGTGCATATACTGTATAGCCTATATTGTGTACATGGTCCTTGTTTGTTGCCGCTATCCACGGAGCTATGCGGTAGGCCAATATCACTCCCTACATGCACAGTCTTTGTACTACTGCCAGTTTTCGTTGGAGATTTTTACTTTGTAAAACTCTTTCTCTCTCTCCAAATCGATGCCGCATGTTTGGCTTAACTTTGCACAGTGTGGTTGCGGTTGGCAATGCTTTACCGGAAGCCGTCTTAGTGTGTTCCGCAAATGTTAGTTTCGCATTTAATTACCCATCCAGATATCTCAAGCTAGATCTAAATTGAATGCAGTACCCATCCATCTCTATTTTTGGCGGTTGGAATACGCCTTTATTAGCCAACACTATGACTTTAGTTTTATTGCTTATTCGGCTTTAAGTATCGCTAGCTATAATCCCTGTTAGTGAAGTTGACGCTTACTGCATGATCAGGGCAATGTCATAGGCATAACGTATCAATTTTGCTCCGTTTCAATGATCCATATCCAACTAGGCCGTGATACATGAGATTCCACGGCAAGTAACCTAGGATGGAGGGCTGAATGGAGCTCGTCTCTTATGCTATGTGTTCTTTGTGTAAATATCTATTAAATATAATATAATATATAGCATGCAAAGTATATATTGCATATCAGATCTATAATAGAGAGTATATGCAGCATATATAATAGAAAGTATGTAGTTTATAGAGTATATAGGTTGAGCTTTTTTTATAGTAAGTACCTCATATAATATACTTGTTTACCAAGCCAATGGTCGTGGGTTCGAATCTCAAGTGCGGTAGAGTTTTTTAATAAAAGCCGATAGCCTTAGATGCTAGTGCTTTTAAGAGTTTAGTCTTAGAATTTATTTCTCTGGCGAAATTAATAATAATAATAATATACTTGTTATATACGACATAGTATAACACATCACTTTATAGGGTCGTAGGGTGACACACAAATGTACGACAAATATGACTTTTAGGCAGTACCAGCCTTCAAACGATATGTATTACATTGCCCATATAGCATATACTGTATATATAAAATTTAATATAAACAGTACTTACTATAAGTGAACTGTGCGTAGCACATTGTATCAGCAGTATATGATGAACGTTGTATATGATATGTACTGCAAGTATTATATATGAGTAGCATGTAGTAAATACAATACTGAGGGTATACTTCCACGTAAAGTGTAGACGCCTAGAAGAGACAGTAGACAGAGAAGATCTGATAACGACACAAAGACGCAAGGATCAGCTGCCGAGTAGAAATCCGCGGGTCAAATTCTAAGGTTGCACAGTCGTTAAGTAGAAGACGTCGAGTCAAGTTGTAAAGCTTTTTCTCCTTACTTTCATTAATGCTTATGTTTATCTAGTTAATCAGGAATTTGAATTACTTTGCATCCAACACAATTACCTTTAATTTCAATAACCAAGATATTAGCATTCTTCAGCTTCTGTACATCTTTTATTATTGTACGTGTAAAACATATAGTATGGAACAAGCACAGTATTCATGCATAATGTAGAACACATATATAGCATGCAATATATAGTGTAGAGTAATGTAGAGTAGTGTAGAGTAGAGTGGAGCATGCAATGTAGAGTGTATAGAGTGTGCACTAGGTACGGTTATAGTCTACATGTTCAGCATAGTATATACTATGCATAGCATAGAGAGAGAGAGAGAGAGAGAGAGAGAGAGAGAGAGAGAGAGAGAGAGA